CTCATTCAGACGATTTGTTTCCCACCCAGCAGCCAAAGAGGTCTCAGGGTCGATTTTTCTACGAGCGGCTCAGAAGGGGTTAAAGAGACAGAGTTGGGATTCCTAGAGAGACCCCCTCGGGAATGAAAGGGAGGAGGGGCCGATGCGAACCCGGAAGACGGTCCCTTCCTGCATCCGGTTCTCCCGCCTCGCTCGCTTGGTGGAGAAATCTGATTTCGGGGTATTTTCTCTCTTGGTGTCCAGGTGTCGGGAGGGAGGGCAGGAGCCGCGCAGGCAGCCCGAAGGTTTCGGGGCAAACGCTGCAAGGAGAGGGTGAGCGGAAGGAAGGAAGGGGAGAGCCCCAAAGTGGGCGAGACCACGTTGATTCCCACCAGAATAAAATCACATCTGGCCTCAACCGATGGGCAACACCTTAAAAAATTGGGAAAGGGAGAAAGAAAGGCAGGGAATTGTAAATGGGTGGTGCTATCCAGTCATAGGGGGTTTCGCTCAAAGAAAATTCTAGGTGGCAAAAAGAAAAGGAAAGAGGGCAGTCTTGGAAGTACAGAATACAGAGTCCAAAAGGAACTTTTAAGCATTTTTTTAAAACTTAAAATTTATTTAGAGGGCTGTGGGAGGTCCCCAGAGGGCCACATGTAGCCTGTGGACACATATTGCTCACCATAATCTACGTCACTGGTTCTTAAACTTTGTTACTCAGATATTTTGGGACTGCAACTCCCAGAAGCCATCATCAGCTTTGCTGGATGAGATTTCTGGGAGTTGCAGTTCAAAAACACCTGAGTAACAAAGGTTAAGAACCACTGATCTACGTGATCACAAGGCTGCTGCCATTACAGAAGTGGCAATCTCTGTGGAGAGAAGATGCCCTCCGCTTTCGGCCATGGCAGCCACCCACAAATGGCATGGTCCCACATTCCCCTGCGGGGAGACATTTCCGTTAAACAGAAACACAGTGGGATGGAACGGGTTTCTTCTGCTTGTAACCCTCCGCTGTAATTCACAGAAACGAAGGGAATAATGATGGAGGAGGAGGAGGACCTGGGCAGAGCTGAAGAAGGGAAGAGAAGAGAGGTGGGACCAAGAGGCGACCACGCTGTTCAGAGCGAGAGCGAAGGGGAGCTTCGTGCTGAGATGGCTCTGAAGCCCATCAAGCAGGAGCCGGAGGAAGAAGAACGGCAGCAGCGCTGGGAGGCCCAGTGGCAGGAGTTCCTCAAGAGCCTGCAGGCCCCCTATTTGGGAAGGAAATACCCTCAGCTGCCCCCTTCCCGCTTAGGAGAGGGTCCGACTGCTCTTCAGTCCTCCTTCCAGGGAACGGATCAAGCCAGCTCTGGGCCTGGAGGAGAGTGTGGGATCCAGAACCTGCCAAGCCGGACAAAAGAAGCCCACAAGGTCTGGGGCGTCAGCCCAGATTCTTCTGCAGCAGTAAAGGAAGAATTGGATGAGGACGACTCGATCGTCTCGGAGGTGCATCGTCGATGCTTCCGGCGGTTCTGCTACTGGGAAGCCGAAGGGCCGCGAGAGGTTTGCCGGCAGCTTCTGCAACTGTGCCGTCAGTGGCTGAAGCCGGAGACGCGCAGCAAGGAGCAGATCGTGGAGCTGATTACGCTGGAGCAGTTCTTGAGGGTCCTGCCTGCGGAAGTGCAGAGTCGGGTCCGACAAGGTGGTCCAGAGACCTGCGCCCAGGCGGTGGTTCTGGCTGAGGATTTCATTCAGGAGCGGGAGAGGAAAGAAGGGCAGGTGGGTAAATCATGGAGACCCAAAAGTTCCATCACTATCTCCCTTGGGTTACGTGTCCTGTGCCTGTCTCCGAGTTGGGGCCGAGGCAGTCTGTCCCCATAGTTCAAGGTGAAACAGGAGAATGGCATTTTCTGTAAGCTTCAAGAAGCAGGTTGTTGGTGTCTGACTTCTTAACGTGTGTCAGTTTGTCACACAGTTGCATTGGTTGCTCTTTGCTGGTGGTGAAAACAAATAGGATGAAGCAGGTAGTGGTTTTGTGGTGTTCTTGGGCACCACAAAGTGTTAGCTACACAGAGCCAGTTCTACCATTGAGGAAGGAGGAGCCCCCCTGGATAGTAGATGCTGGGAGCTGATGGGACAGGGAGCTTTAGAGGACAGAACTATGGCTGTGCACAGCTTGACCTGCCTTCCAGTGGTCAGGCACTTCGGGCCAGGCCTCCTCTGCATCTCCTGAGAATGCTTGCTGCCTTCAGTTGTGATGGTCAAGTAACATTTGTCTGCCCTTGTGGTTGGTTTCTGTACCTGGAATGGGAGGAATGATCGCAGGCAAGATAATATATCTTGGATGTCGCTCCTGGGGAAA